CCTGCTGATCCGATGCTCCTGCCGTGCTCCCAGTACCGGTGTGGCAGAGCCATGCCTGAGATGTGTGAGCTGCTCACAGGAGTGCTGCTCTTCCTGATGCCCATCAATATTTGACGGCAGGAACATTTAAAACTGCAGAGGGGAAGTGCACTCAGCCCCCCTCAGATGGTTTGTATGTGACACTGCCCTTCTCCTGCGACACAAAGAGCTCAGACCCCCAGGGCCAACGGCAGCACTGGAAATTTGGTCCTCGGACGCAGCGCCCGCACGCTCGGTACGGCCAGCCCCTCCTGGCCTCTGGCAGAAGATGAACTTGGCTGCTTTGTGGAGCAGATTCACACGGAAAAGCAGATTGCCTTTAACTTCTAGGCTGCTTTTTTGACCCAGTTAGCAGAAAAGTAGTAAGTTTTTCTGTAGCTAAAAAGCTCTATGTTTTTCCTTTCTGCATCCCAGATGAGAAGCTATGTGTATGCCCTGACAGGCTCTATCCTGACATCCCAGGAATATTTGGGAACTGTAAGAGGGACTGTGGCAAATGGCCTGGAGTGACTTACAGTGGATGTTTCACTGGAAACTGGGAAGGCAGCAATGAGCAAAATCTCTGCAGTACTTAATGGGGCCTTTTCAATTTGCTGAGATGCGTTTCTATTGCTGTGGGTCCCACAGGACCGTGTGTGGTTGTGGCTTTTTCCAGCAGCAACAGCAATAACGATCCCCTGTGCCAGTCCAGCGCCTGCCTTTCGGCAGGCTACTCAGTGCATTTATTTCTGCAAATGGAGGCTCCTGCCCAAAAGCTGCCTTCACCCAAATGCTCAGTGAGGGGGGGCTCTGCCGAACGAGAACGGCCAGAGAGCTCAGGCAGCCCATCATGGCCCGGCAGTTGCGGGGGCAGAGAAGCAGGGAGAGTGCAAGACCCCGGCACCCACCGCGCTGCAGGGAGGCTGCACCCGGCAGCCTGGGCTGAGCCCCGGCGGGGTCTGAGGGTGGGCAACTGGCTCTGGCACTCGGAGGATGAGCTGGTGTGTAGGGACGTGGGCTTTTCAGGTGTGAAATGGGAACCAGGTTGTCTCAAAGCCTCGTGAGACTTCACCAAGCTGCCAAGCCAGGGTGCGAGCTGGGAATCAGCAAGAGGTCCTCCTCTGCCTCCCCAGGAAGGACTCTCACCTGGTTTCACGTTCAGTTGGAAACATTTCCCAGTCTCTGGCAAAGTACATCAGCCTGTCTGCCCAGCCCGCACACATCTGCTCAGCAGATAGGACCTGATCTGCCCACCTCATGGAACGAGCACGGCTGCCAGCCAGCTGGTCCTATAGTGCACCTTAACCAGGGCAGAGAAAAGGCGATGCTCGCTGCCCGGTGACTTCGCCAGGAGAGCCGCTCAGCTCTTCTTCCCTGACCCCGCAGTACAAAGCATGGGCTCGCTTTGCCCTCGCGTTGCTCCCCACCAGCTGTAAAAGCTCTGTCTTTATCTCAGCCCTATTAGTGCCACTCCTGCAGAGCTGCTGCGCAGCCTTTTCGCCTATTAATACGCTCATAATTCACAGGAGGAAAATAGCCTTTAATGCAGTGGTGATATTTAAACCAGGGGAGGTATCAGTTTGGTTTTTTTTTTTTTAAACTTGTTTTTTAGGCATTCAGTTTCTTTACTCCAACCTCTGCTCCACATCTGTGGCTCCAGCCTTCTCCATCCAGCTGAGAGGGAATTATGTGTGCAAGAGGAGTCAGGGCTCCCTTCCCGGCACACCGCTCACATCCCTAGGACTCCCGCACCTGCTGCACGCTCAGCCACATGCTCGAGGATGCTGCACCTGAAAGTCCAGTTTCTGGATGACTCCCAGAAGATCTTTGTAGTTGATGTAAGTGGGTATCATATTCTTATTGGGGTTTTTGTGCTAATTATTGATGTCATTGCTGCTCTGAAGGATTGCATGGTCTCTGATAGCTTCTGTTTTTTCAGCTTTAAAAAAACCAACCAACCAACCAAAGTGAAAAAACTCAAAACCAAATCAAGGGGTTATAGCGCTGATTGCTAAGTGTCTTTCAGCACCAACACACTCCTGTTCTCCCCTCTTGTTGGCGTTATTTATAAACAAGGAGGAATGGCTTTTACTTATCTGGTGTCATCTTTTGGAAAACAGCTAATATGAAGTGATGTTCTTGACAGGTATTGAGCTCTTTTCTCATTTGTCTGGCTGCCAGTATAAACATTCAGCAAGGAAGAAAAATCTAGAAACAGAATAAAAATAGGATATTTAACTAAATTACCCCTGGTGAGAAACATCTGCATACTTCTCTTCCTGATCATTCAGCTGAAAAAGAAAACCGGGTGATTTTGAGGATAGCTGAGGAAAAATCTCACTGTATGTTATTTTCTGCATGACAGTGTCCCACAACACATTGTCATTAAAAACTCACATTTAATAAATACTAGTTTTGAATATTGACTGCTGAAATACAGATTTTAAATGCTACGTATTAATATCTATGGTGTTAGAAAGATATATATATAGATAGATAATTGAAACTAGATACAAATTGTATCTTAAGTATGTGTGAGAAACATCTTTTTGCAAGTGTGATTGAGCATTTACTGTTGGTTAGGATTTGATAATCACGGTAGTTAACTGAATTAGATCATTCAGGTAGGTCTGTTCCAGCACTTACCGGCATCTCTTCTGGGAGCAGAGTGTTTCATATCAACTGTTTTTTTTTCAAGTTCTGTTACGTTACTCAGACAGTCATGTCCTCTGGTTTTATAGCATAGCCTGAGAAATGTATCTCGGATACACTGCTCGGTTTCTTTGCAATAGCAATTTTGCACAGAAGAGGACTGTAAAGCAATTCCATCACTTGGCACAGTATGTAAGTTGTTTCATTTCATTTAGTGAATGTATCCTGGACCTAGAGTCAGCTTAAAAATGAGACTAGTCATTTAAAAATGTTTTTTTTTTCCATATTGATTAGATCAGGGCATAGCGAGAGACAGTTTGAAAGATGCTGCTGGTCCAATATTACTTTTTTTTTTTTTCCATCTCTGCTTTCTTATTTGCCCAAAACACTTACAGCACTATAGCTCTGCGAGACATGTTATTGCAGCAAATAGCTTCCATTAGTGGAACTCCTGGTCATTTCCTTTTTTTAGCGTGGAATGGCATTGGAAACCCCTTTTAGGCATTTCATGCATTTGATGCTGTATGGGTATGATAAATGAGTCGTTGAATTAGTGACTTCTCCATTATAAAAGGACCGCTTTGGGCTAAGTTTTGAGCAGATATTTCAAGCAAGTCTTCCTAAACCACTCCTGACTTTGGAAAGCTCTTTTGAATGTGTGGTACTTCAGTACAATGCGAGAGAAAAGGACAAAAGAGAGAAAACACAGCGGGCCTGATTCCCCCTCTGCCTCGCGCTCGGCGTGTGCATCTATACCTGCCTCACGCGGGTATCACAGCTGCCGGCACGTGCCGCGAGGTCTCATTTCCAGCGCAGTTTTGCACATGAATGAGTTCACCTCCCGGTGCTGGGTGCTGGCCCGGGAAGGCTTCTGCCTCCTTCCGCATCCTCACCAAGAGCCGGGACCTGGCACCCTCCTCGTGGCCACTCAGCTCCCAGGAATTCCTTTGGCTGGGTGCTGGAGGTGGTTCTCAGGATGGCACCAACAAGCCAAGTCTGAGCCCCTAGGGCAGGGGAAGGCAGGGGCCTGGCACATCTTCGAATGTCCCCTGTTGTGCCTTCACT